TAGTTCTTTTCCACTGAGATGGCTATTTTTTTTCTTGAAGACTGAAGGTGGGAAATAGACAGTGTGCCTTTCTTCCTAGGAGGGAAACAAAAAAGGACACCACTGGCAAAAAATATATAACACACAAGCAAGTAAGCAAGTATATAATGATCAAATAAGCATAACAGCAAGTCTAATATAATTCAAATAAACATAACAAATATGATATAAATCAATAGGCCAAAGTGCAATAATAAATCATAATAGAAACAAGTCACAGTCTTTCCATGTGTCTATTGCCAGCATGGAAGCAATATCAAAGTCCAAATTGGAGTGCAATTCATCAAATTTTCTGAGCCATAAAAAGCCGACGCGTAATCCGGATGCCTGTTGCCGCGTTTCGAATGATTCTTATTATATTTTTTGCCAGTGGTGTCCTTTTTTGTTTCCTGCATTGTACACTGGCTTCCCCCCCTCTTTTTTTGGTTTCTTCCTAGGAATGCAGTGTGGAAAGTACTGTTTTGTGCATATTCAGGGTATTATTTTGGGAGGGGGTTGCAAAGGCTTCCATATTCTAAAATAGATTCTAGTAGCCAGGAAGCCATGACTTTGATCAATCAATGTTTCCTGGGCAGACTAAAAATAAGACTTTATCTTCCTTTACTCTCAGTCAGACAGTGAAGGGCATAAGTATCTGAGGGTTAGTGAGTCCTTCCATTCGGGAGGGGCTGTGGCTCAGTGGTAGGACATCTGCTCAGCATGCAGAAGGTTCCAGGTTCAATCCCCAGCACCTCCAGTTAAAAGGACCAGAAGAAGAAGAGATTGGATTTATACCCTGCCCTTCACTACCCAAAGGTGTCTCAGAGCGGCTTACAAACTCCTTTCCCTTCCCCTCCCCACAACAGACACCCTGTGAGGTAGGTGGGGCTGAGAGAGCTCTGACAGAAACTGCTCTTTTTCAAGGACAACATTTATCAGAACTACGGCTTGCCCAAGGTCATCCAGCCAGGTGCAAGTGGAGGAGTGGGGGAATCAAACCCGGTGCTCCCAGATTAGAGTCCGCGCACTTAACCACTACACCAAACTGGCAGAAGGTGATGTGAAAGACCTCTGCGTGAGACCCCAGAGAGCCACTTCCAGTCTGGGTAGACAATACTGACCTTAAGAACATAAAAAGAGCCTTGCTGGATCAGACCAGTGGGTCATCAGGTCCGGCATCCTCTCTCACAAGGTGGCCAACTGGTTCCTCTGGAGGGCCAACAACGGTATAGAGGCCAAGGCCTTCCCCTGCTGTTGCCTCCTGGCACTGCTATTTAGAGGTTGACTGCCTCTGAGCATGGAGGTTCCCTTAAGTCACATGGTGACTAGTAGCCACCGATATACCTGTCCTCCATGAATCTATCTAATCGTTTTTTAAAGCTGTCTCTACCTGTGGCCTTCATGGACCAATGGTCTGATTCAATATAACACAGCTCCATATGCCCATTCTCCCTCCAGGCTCTGGATTCCGCACTGATCAGAGTAGGTAGATCTACTGAGTTTTTTATAGGTGTATAATCAGTGGTTAAGATGCTGAACTGCAGACTGGAAGGTCGGTAGTTCAGCAGTTCGGGACCCGAGTGCCGCATGATGGAGTGAGCTCCCGTCTCTGGCCCCAGCTCCTGCCAACCTAGCAGTTCGAAAGCAAGAAATTACAAGGAGATAAATAGGTACTGCTTCGGTGGGAAGGTAACAGCGTTCCGTGCGCCTCAGCGTCTAGTCATGCCGATCACATGACCACGGAAACATCTTTGGACAGTGCTGGCTCTTCGGCTTGGAAACGGAAATGAGCACCACCCCCTAGAGTCGGATTCGAATGGCTTTTGAAGAGAAGAAGAGATTGGATTTATACCCCGCCCTTCACTACCCAAAGGTGTCTCAGAGCAGCTTACAAACTCCTTCCCCTTCCCCTCCCCACAACAGACACCCAGTGAGGTAGGTGGGGCTGAGAGAGCTCTTTCAAGAACGGCTCTTTTTTCAAGAACAGCTCTTATCAGAACTATGGCTTGCCCAAGGTCATCCAGCAGGTGCAAGTGGAGGAGTGGGGAATCAAAGTCGGTTCTCCCAGATTAGAGTCCGCGCACTTAACCACTACACCAAACTGCAAGGGAAACATTTACCTTTTAAATCAGGGAGATTTAAATCAGGCCAAAAATACCAGGTGCCATCAGGAAGTCCAGCAGCGGGGCCAGGACACTAGAAGCCCTTCCACTGTTGGCCCCTCGAAGCACCAAGAATATAGAGCATCACCTGCCCCCTAATAGCCACTGATGGACCTCTGCTCCATATGCTTATCCAGTTCCCTCTTGAAGCCGTCCCTGCTTGTAGCTGCCACCACCTCCTGTGGCAGTGAATTCCATGTCTTAATCACTCTTTGGGTGAAGAAGGACTTTCTTTTATCCGGTCTAACCCAACTGCTCAGCAATTTCATGGAGTGCCCACGAGTTCTTGTATTGTGAGAAAGGGAGAAAAGTATTTCTTTCTCGACCTGCTCTATCCCATGCATAATCTTATAAACCTCGATCATGTCACCCCTCAGCCATCGTTTGTCCAAGCTAAAGAGCCCCGAGCGCCTTAACCTTTCTCCATAGGGAAAGTGTTCCAACCCTTTTATCATTCTAGTTGCCCTTTTCTGCACTTTTCCCAATGCTATAATATCCTTTTTGAGGTGTGGTGACCAGAATTGCACACAGTATTCCAAATGAGGTCGTACCATCGATTTATACAGGGGCATGATGATACTGGCTGATTTGTTTTCAGTTCCCCTCCTAATAATCCCCAGCATAGCGTTGGCCTTTTTTATTGCAGTTGTACACTGTCTTGACCTTTTCATATAAATGTATAACATAACTGTATAATGCTGTAGAGTCAACCATCCAGAGTGGCCAATCCGAAGTGGCCATTTTCTGCAGGGGAACTGATCTCTGTCACCTTGAGAGCAGTTGCAATCAGTGTTCCCTCTAAGCTGAGTTAGTGTGAGCTAGCTCACAGAATTTTAGCCTCCAGCTCACACATTTCTGTCTTGGCTCAGCAAGGAGGGCTCCAGAGCAAGCTAATT